GGGCAATAAATATGAATAGGGAAGTGACTATTGAAACTTGGGAATATTTGTGGAAAAACTCTATTAAGATATCGACTTGTACCAATGTCAGAGAGAACTGTTTTAAAATGATGTATAGGTGGTACATGACTCCGAAGAAAATTGCAAATATGAATCAGAATATGTCAAACAAATGTTGGAAATGTAAGAGTCATGAGGGCTCATTTTACCATATGTGGTGGACTTGTGAAAAAGCTGCAGACTTTTGGACAAAAGTCCACAATGAAATGCAAAAAATATTGAAATGCTCTTTTAAAAAAGCACCCGAAATTCTGCTTTTGGGTCTTAAAATAGAAGAAGTGAACACGACTAAAAAGACTTTACTTTGGTACTTAATAACAACAGCGAGAATGTTGTATGCACAATTTTGGAAAACAGAGAAAGTACCAGAGATTGAAGATTGGATACAAAAAGTTCTGTTCATGGCTGAAATGGACAAAATCACAAAAAAGTTGAACGGCAAAGAAGACAACGTATTTTTTGAAGAATGGAATGACTTTAAAATTTATCTGGAAAAGAACTGGGATGTGAAACAAAATTTAATATGTTTAGATCAATATTAGGCTAAATGATGTTATCTTAAAACTGTAACGATAAGAAAAATGATATAATCGATGATATATAATAATGTGGAGGGTAAGGGGGAAGCATTGCGGGAAGCCACAGGAGGGAGGGGAGGAAATGGATATAGGTGAATAATGGAAAATTGGAAATGGTTAACTGTAAAACTTATGGAAAATAATAAAAATTTGTTTACCAAAAAAAAAAAAAAGACTCCACAGCTTTGAGGGAGGATTGTTGTCCAGTACGTACTCCGGTCACCTAAAAGGTAGTACCTGCTTTCCAGCAGATTCTACATCAGAAGCTTGGAATCCAGACGCTGATGGGAACTCAGCCACCTCTTCGCCATTCTGCAGTACATCTCTTCATCCATCCATGTTTTAGCTAAAACACTATTGACGTGCCAGCAACTCTTAGTGAGGAACCATCAAGGCAGCTAAAGCGGGATTTCTTTCCCTGAACCATTAATGGCAGTAGAAGCAGGAGAACAAAGACTAAAAGATCTTTTGGTCTGAAGACCAACATTTCTGCTGGTATTTATTTCTGTCCTGTTTACTTATCCTGTCTTTAAGATGCTGCACCCTCCCTATATTCCCATTCTTCTCCTTTTTTCCCCTCACGTATTATTTTTGTTTCCCCCATGGTCAGTGCACATAACTGCTCTGCTGAGACTCTGGGCCAAACTACATCTTACATGGCATGGGAGAATTGTCCCGACAGTCTTGTTTTCACCTCTGGCAGCCATATTTGTTTTTCCCTAGGTGTTGGAGCTTCAAGGGAGATGGGAGTCTTAGATCACGTAAACAGCTTGGCAGGAATGATTATACCCTCTCCTACAGTGGCACTCTTGTTAGATTTGGAGCCCCTGGCGGCCACTTTGAAGTAAAACATTGGGACACCAAGAACAAAGTTTGAGTCCAGAGGCCCCTTTAAGCCCAACAAAGTTTTATTCAAGATATGAGTTTTCGTGTGCAAACACTCTTCCTCAGATAGAGACTGAAACAGGTAGGGGAGGTTAGTTGCCAAGAAGATGTATAAGTAACTGAGCAATAAATACTCCCTGTTATTTTAATTCCCAAGCCGGAACATGTTTAGAACTAACATTTAGTATTTAATAATATATTTAGAGCTAATAACCAATTTCAGAATGGTATCAGATGGTCTTCACTTGAGGCCCTGCTCCATATTCTACCTCCTTCAGAAGTGTGGATTACATGTCCCTTTCTGTTGTGGTGCGGATAGGTCCAAAGGATGGATCATATTTGCATGGAGATTAGTTACAACTCCCCTTTTTCTAATGCCAGGGCTTTTTTTGTGGAAAAAGCCCAGCAGGAACTCATTAGCATAATAGGCCACACCCGACAGCAGAAACCTATTAGCATATTAGGCCACACCTATTACAGCACAGCTGGGTGTGTCTTGTTATGCTAATGAGTTCCTGCTGGGCGTGGCCAACTTGGAAGCCTGCCGGAACTCCGTTCCTGTGCGTCCTGCCCAAAAATAGCCCTGTCTAATGCTATATAACGATAGGGATGCCAGCTTCCAGGATATCCCAGGCTAGCCCAGTCTCATCAGATCACAGAAGTTGAGTGCGGTTAGGACTTGTTAAAATGTTTCTCAGAGATCGCTAAGAAGGAAATTTCTTATGGAGAAGGGGATTGCCAGTTTGATGTCATGCTTAAGAGTGGCCGACTCTAATCTGGAGAACCGGGTTTGATTCTCCACTCCTCCACATGAAGCCAACTGGGTGACCTTGGGTCAGTCACAGCTGTCTCAGAGCTGTTCTCTCAAGGGCAGTTCTCTCAGAGCTCTCTCGGCCCCACCTACCTTACAGGGTGTCTTCTGTGGGGAGAGGAAGGGGAAAAGATTGTAAGCCTCAACTCTGAGTGAAGGGCAGGGTATAAATCCAACTTTTCTTCTTCTTCTTCTTCTTCTTCTTCTTCTTCTTCTTTCCCAAGGTACCTTCCCCAACTTAAGTTGCTCTTCTGTTGGTGGAACAGCCAACTGGAAAAGGCTGAAAGAAGACCCCTTAATTGATTCATTCATTCATTTTAGGCATTTTTAGGCACCTTTCTTCTTTATGGAGCTCAAGCTGGCTTACAATATAGATAAAATTCACAAAATAAAATACATCAAAAAAAATTAATCCAGTGCAGTCCTAAATAAACCCATCCTCAACTGCCTGTTAAAGACTGAAAGGGAGGGGGGAGTCTCAGAGCAGCTTACAATCACCTTCCCTTCCTCTCCCCACAACTCTCCCCTGTGAGGTAGGAGAGAGTTCTGAGAGAATGGTAACTGACCCAAGGTCACTCAGCTGGCTTCATGTGGGGGAGTGAGGAATCAAACTCGGTTCTCCAGATTAGAGTCCACCACTCTTATCAGCTAGAACACCCTGGCAAGGTTCACCTCCCTGAGGTTGTTCCATAATCGTGTGGCTGCCACGGAAAAGGTCCTCTCTTGTGTACCCACCAAATGAACGTCTTTGATGGAAGGGACAGTCAGAATGGCCTCTTCCTGTGATCTTAATTTCCAGGCGGGAAGGTATGGGAAGATGCTTTGGATCCACCTCACTGTGGTTTCTTTACCCTAAGTTTAAGCATAGCATCCTTCATCTCCTTGTTCCTTAGTGTGTATATGACTGGGTTTAGAAGTGGTGTCAGTGTGGAGTAGAAGATAGCTACCACTTTACTCAGAAGATCTTGAGCCCCTGGTCTCATGTAGTTGAAAGCCAGAGGCACATAGCACGTCATCACCACAATGATATGAGCAGCACATGTGGAGAACGCCCGACGGCGCCCTTCCGTCGAGTGGATCCTCAGGATGGTAGAAACAATGTACATATAGGACATCAGTATCAAGAAGATACAGATCATGGCCACTAGACCAACATCTACAAAGGTAAACATCTCATTGAACTTTGTGTCTCCACAGGCCAGCTTCAGCATGGCAGGTATATCACAGAAGATATAGTTGACTTGGTTCTTCGTGCCATACGGCAAGCTGAAGGTGAGGGTTGTTTCCAGGACTGAATGCACACAGCCACAAAACCATGCACCAAAGGAAAGGCAGAGGCATGCTCTGTGGTTCATGTCTGCATTATAATGGAGAGGTCTGCAGATGGCCAGGAAGCGGTCGTAGGCCATCACAGTGTACAAGAAGCACTCTGTGGAGCCCAGGAAATGGTAGAAGAAGAGCTGAGTCTTGCAACTGCCAAAGGAGATGACTTTACCGCCTTCTACAAATCCAGCGATCACCTTGGGCACTATCACAGTGGACATTGCAATGTCCAAAATGGACAAATGACAGAGAAACCAATACATGGGCTTATGCAGCTGAGGTTCTGAGGCCACAGTCAAGAGGACCAGGATATTCCCCACGATGGTCAGCAAGTAGATGATCAGGAAGAAGAGAAACAAAGGGACATGAAATCCCTGAGGGTAGGGGATGCCCAAGAGGATAAGGTCAGTCAAAAGAGACTGGTTTTCACATTCCATTGATGCACTACGGAGCCCTGCAAAGGGGGAAAAAATGATTGGAATAATACAAATGGAGGAATTGAGAAATACAATTTTCTGTGGATATGTTAGAACCTTGAAATGCACCATTGTGAGGGACATCCTGAATCCAGGTCTACTGGTTTTTCCCATTCATTTAAGAATACAGAGAAGTGGCATTCAAGGCTTTTCAACCCAGCTTCATGTCCAAGACTCATTCAAGGATTATGTGAAGAAAAATGTTTCTGACAATGGACAAACTATCTTTTCAATACAGCTGAATGAACATAAGAACATAAGAAGAGCCCTGCTGGATCATACCAGTGGCCCATCCTGTCTCACACCATGGCCAACACCTTACTGTGAGAGTCCAACGACAGGGACTAGATGCCGAGGCCTCCCCTAATGTTTCCTTCTGGCACTGAACTAGAGGTTGACCACCACTGAATGTGGAGGTTGCCTTCAGTCACCAAGGCTAGTAGTCACTGATAGTCCTGTCCTCCATGAATCTATCCAATTCCCTTTTGTGGCCTGTGGCCATCACAATATCCTCTGGCAGCTAATTCCACATTTTAAGCACTTGCTATGTAGATAGGCGCTGCGGTGGCTCAAGTGGTTAAGATGCTGAACTGCAGGCTGTGGAAGGTCAGTAGTTGAGCAGTTTGAGACCCGGGTGCCACATGATGGAGTGAGCTCCCGTCAACCTAGCAGTTCGAAAGCAAGAAATTGCAAGTAGATAAATAGGTACCACTTCGGTGGGAAGGTAACAGTGTTCCGTGCGCCTTGGTGTTTAGTCATGCCAGCCACACAACCACGGAAACGTCTTCAGACAGCGCTGGCTCTTCGGCTATGAAATGGAGATGAGCACCGCAACCCTAGAGTTGGATTCAACTGGCTTGCGAGCAAGGGAACCTTTACCTTTACTTTATGTAGATAAATGTATCCTTTTGTCTGTCATGGATGATATACCCTCCCCCCATACACAAACTTAGAAAAGACTAGACAACAGCTTCCCACCTTCAGTTTCTTTGACCGACATGATGTATAATCAGAGAGTACAGTCTTTCTCCTTAAAAATCCACCCCTGGCTTTCCTCCTATCTCCTTTCTAGTAGTTCCTCATAAAGGGGTTTCCCCCCACCACAGTCTCTGTCCCCCCTACCCCGATATTGAAAGGTCCATTGTTTACCTCCTTCCAGATTTTCATTCAACCAGTTTAAATCCATTTTCAGTACCAAAGCTACGGTCAATATTAATTACTTCAACCCATTGGCTTATGATTCTGTCACTATAATAGTCTTATTTTATTAACAAGCACATTTAAAACCTCCATCAATTTTGTTCAAAAATTCACTCATTAAACAAAAAAATTCCTTCAGGGCCCTTCCAGGATTAGGGGCCCTGAAGCTTAAGCTTCATTAGTTTCATAGTAGATCTGCCCCTGCTGCCAGGTGGTCACCTCTCTAGTCAAAGCGAACTTTCGCCCAGTGTGCCGAATCGATCAAGCAAGCAGGGGGAACTGCTCCGAAAATCTAGATTTGAGTCTAGTAGCACTTGAGAGATTATCAGGATGTTTAGGATATAAGCCTTTGAAAGTCAAATCGCCCTTCTTCAGATACTAGAGACCAGTGTTCCCTCTAAGCTGAGTTAGTGTGAGCTAGCTCACAGTTTTTTAGCCTCCGACTCACACATTTTTGTCTTAGCTCAGGAAGGGTGGCTCCGGAGCAAACTAATTTATGCGGGAGCCAAATCGCTGGCTCACAACTTTAATGCCAGGAGCTCACAAAGGAGAATTTTTGCTCACAAGACTCCACAGCTTAGAGGGAGCATTGCTAGAGACCCTTCATCAGGGAGCCTGAACGTTCAAAAACGTATACCTTCCAGATGTTGTTGGTCTCTAAGGTGCTATTGAACTCAAATCTAGGCTCTTCTACTGCAGACCGGCATAGGTGAAATGATCGGCTCTGGAAATGTCTCTCTGTACCTATCGTGCCACTTATTGTAGGTGACTGTCCTGTGTCTAGCGTTCCCTCAAAGCTGAGTTAGTGTGCAGTAGCTCACAGTCTTTTAGCCTCCAGCTCACAAACTTTTGTCTCCGCTCAGGAAGGAGGGCTCCAGAGCAAACTCATTTATGCAGTAGCCAAATTCGCTTGCTCACAACTTTAATGCCCAGTAGCTCACAAACTAGAGTTTTTGCTAACAAGACTCCGCAACCTACAGGGAGGATTGTTGTCCAGTACCTACTCCGGTCACATAAAAAGTAGTACCTGCTTTTCAGCAGATTCTCTATCAGAAGCTTGGAATCCAGATGCTGCTGGGAGGTCAGTCACCTCTTCGCCATCCTGCAGTACGTCTCTTCAACATTTGATGTTTTAGCAAAACAATATTGACGTGCCAGCAACTTTTAGTGAAGAACCATCAAGGCAGCTAAAGCGGGATTTCTTTCCCTGAACCATTAATGGCAGTAGAAGCGGGAGAACAAAGGCTAAAAGATCTTTTGGTCTGAAGGCCAACATTTCTGCTGATATTTATTTCTGTCCTGTTTACTTATTCTGTCTTTAAGATGCTGCACCCTCCCTATGTTCCCATTCTCCTCCTCCTTCCCCCCCCCCCATGTATATTTTTTTCCCCCAATGGTAAGTGCACATAAGTGCTCTACTGAGACTCTGGGCCAAACTACATCTAACATGCCATGGGAGATTTACAACTAGAATGATCTGACAGTCTTGTTTTCACCTCAAGGAGCCATATTTTTCCCCCTAGGAGTTGGAGCTTCAAGGGAGATGTGCGCAGGGCTATTTTTGGGGAAGAACACACAGGAACGGAGTTCCAGCTGGCTTCAGAGTTGGCCACGCCCACTACAGCCAAAACCTCTGCATGCATGGCTACAGGGGGAAGGCCTGGAGAGCGACCCCCCACCCAGCGACTCCAAGTTAGGTGGGCCGGGGGGGCCTGGAAGGATTGGGGAGGCATTTACTCAGAGTCTTCCCCGGCCTTTCCAAGGGCCGGCTTGCCCAGGTGCCCCACAGGCAAGCCAAGGGAAGGCAGTTTAAATTGCCTCCCCTCCCCTCCAAGGGCCAGCTTGCCTGGGCAAACCAAGGGAAGGCTTGGGGTTTGGCCTAATAAGCTAATAAGATGTGCTGCCAGGGGTGCAGCCTAATATGCTAATGAGTTCCTGCTGTCGGGTGTGGCCTATTATGCTAATGAGTTCCTGCTGGGCTTTTTCTACAAAAAAAAATGTCACATGCGTCTTAGATCATGTGAACAGTCTGGCGGGAGTGATTACACCCTCTCTCCTACCATGTCACTCTGATTAGTTTTGGCGCCCCTGGCGGCCACTTCAAAGTAAAACATTGGGAGATCCAAAACAAAGTTTGAGTCCAGGGGCACCTTGAAGTCCAACAAAGTTTTATTCAAGATAATGAGTTTTCATGTGCAAACACTCTTCCTCAGATAGAGACTGAAACAGGTGGGGGGTGGTTAATTGCCAGGAAGATGCATAAGTAACTGAGCAATAAATACTCCCCGTTATCTTAATCCCCAGGCAGGAACATATTTAGAACCAGGGGTCGTTTCCTGCAGGAGCGCACAGGAGCGGAGCTCCGGCAGTAAAGAGCCCAGAGGGCGGGCACATGGAACAAGCCCCACCCCCTGCTCCCAGCAGCCCTCAGTCAGAGCAAGAAGCAGCCAGGTAAGTTGCAGAACTCCCCCCGGCCTTCCGGTCCAAAACAGTTCAGTGACACCTTTAAGACCAAGTTTTATTCAGGTACAAGCTCTCCTTCCTCTGCGAGGACAGATCTGCACGATCCTCCCTCCCCCAAAATAGCTAGCAATCCAAAACAGTCCAGTGGAGCCTGAGCGGTGGGTGTTGCCTTCTGACACACTTCTGGTGATGTCAGGGGGTGTGGCATATGCAAATAAGTTATGCTAATAGGTTATGCTAATGAGCTCCTTCACCTCTTTTTCTACAAAATGACCCCTGTTTAGAGCTAATATTTAGTGTTTAATAATATATTTAGAGCTAATAACCAATTTCATAATGGTATCAGATGGTCAGTTTGGTGTAGTGGTTAAGTCCACGGACTGTAATCTGGGAGAACCGGTTTTGATGCCCCACGCCTCCACTTGCACCTGGCTGGAGTGACCTTGGGCAAGCCATAACTCTGGCACAGCTGTCCTTGAAAAAGAGCAGTTTCTGTCAGAGCTCTCTCAGCCCCACCTGCAGGGTGTCTGTTGTGGGGAGGGGAAGGGAAAGGAGTGTGAGAGCCGCTCTGATATACCTTTGGGTAGTGAAGGGTGGGGTATAAATCCAATTTCTTCATATTCTACCTCCTTCAGAAGTGAGGATGACATGTCCCTTTCTGTTGTGGTGCGGATAGGTCCAGAGGATAGATCATATTTGCATGGAGATTAGTTACAACCCCCCTTTATCTAATGGTATATAACGATAGGGATGCCAGCTTCCAGGTGGGACCTGGGGATCCCCCCCGGAATTACAGTTCATCTGCAGTCTACAGAGACCAGTTCTCCTGGAGAAAATGGATGCTTTGGTATTGTGCTCCACTGAGATCCCCATCCTCCCCAGGCCCCCCCCCAATCGACAGGAGTTTCCCAATCTGGATCTGGCAAACCTGAACAATGATCATTACATGCCACCTAATTCTAATACGATTTCCACTGCTGGTACTTCGTTTCACCAGCACATAACTCTTAATTCTAGCTGCTCTGAGACTCCTTCGGGTAGTGAAGGGCAGGGTATAAATCCAATGTCCTCCTCCTCCTCCTCCTCCTCCTCCTCCTCCTCCTCTTCTTCTTCCGCCATTGCTTGCCTTCGGTTTCATTTTATATGGGACCTCTCTTCTTCTCTCTCTTACCTGGGCTGTAGCAGGTTAACCTTTTTGAAGTTAATCTGTTCACAATCCATTAAATGTACCTACATGAAGATGTCATGTAAAATGTGCTTCTACTTTTGTAAGTAAAATTTCTTTCTCTTGTTACCGTTGGAGTTAGATCATATTTGTAATTTGTTTGAACAGCATTAGCCCCTTAACTGGGAAACGTGGAGAATCGGGGATACTGCAAAAAAAAATTCTGTGCTTCCAATGCAAATGATATCTTTTTTTATACTTAACCCAATAGATTTGAACTCCAGTCTCCTACACACTAGCCCCCAAACTCTAAGCACTACAGTACACTGGCACAGGTTCTTAGGATCTTACGTCTTCTTCAACTGATGGATCAGGACCCTAAAAGGCAAAACACACACACGGGGGGGGGGGAATCCCAAAGCTCTGTGAATCCATGTTGCAACAAGTCGAGAGATTTTCAAAAGAAAGCAGGGAATGTTGAGGGCTGCAGTATTTTATTGGCAAAAAATGGCAGAGGAGCCAAATGACAACACATTTAACATAAATAGTAAGTGCAATGCAGGTTAAATGGGAAAGTAAACAGTGAACGGTGTGGGGAGGGAGTGTATTTTTATGTGCATGTGTGAGTGTCTGTGTGCACCAGGAAGTCATGGCGACCTCTCATGACTGACCCCTACTGGGGACATGGAGGATATTTCGAGAGATGGCTGAAAGCCAGTTTGGTGTCGTGGTGAAGTGCGCGGACTCTAATCTGGGAGAACCGGGTTTGATTCCCCACTCCTCCACTTGCACCTGCTGATGTGACCTTGGGTCAGTCACAAGCTCTGGCACAGCTGTCCTTGAAAAAGAGCCGTTTGTGTCAGAGCTCTCTCAGCCCCACCCACCTCACAGGGTGTCTGTTGTGGGGAGGGGAAGGGAAAGGAGTTTGTAAGCCGCTCTGAGACTCCGAGTGAAGGGCGGGGTATAAATCCAATCTCTTCTTCTTCTTCTTCTTCTTCTTCTTAAAGCCTGCCCCTGCCTCCCAGCTCTGGTATTCCAAGGAGGTCTCCCATCCAAGTATTTGCCAGAGTCGACCATGCTTGCCTTCCGAGATCTCACAAGATTGGGCTTCCCTGGGCTATCCAGGTCAGGGCGAAAGCTGTGTTCTTTGGACACTTTGGTTAACCGGCATCTGTTGCAGAAAGCAATATATCTGAGGGTGCAAGGCAGTACCTACATCTCCAGGTGGTGGCTGGAGATATCCTTGGATTACAACTGTTCTCCAGGCAACAGAGACCAGTTCCCCTGGAGAAAATGGCCGCTTTGGAAGGTGGACTCTATGGCATTCTACCCCATCAAAATCCCTCCCCTCCCTAAACCCCACCTTCCTCAGGCTCCACCCCCAAAATCTCAAGTTATTTCCCAACCTGGAGCTGTATACCTAGATATTTCTGAACCTGGAGTCGGTGGCAACTCTAGTGGGTATCCAGTGGTTTTCATGGTACAGTTCTTACGCTACAGTGACAGATAGAAGACACTTTCCCGGCCTACTTTCTTGTCTCTCAGGGAAAATAAAGGAACATATGCTTGACCCCTTTGTTTCTAACCCCCTTTTAGCTTTCTGAATGCCGCCTGAACCTCCTTGTTCCTCAGAGTATAGACAGTTGGGTTCAACATGGGCGTGACAACATTGCAGAAGATCTGGATCGGGGTGGCTAATATGTCACTCAGAGATGGCTGGGTGTAGAGGAGGGCGCAAGGCCCGAAGAAGAAGCAAACAACTGTCAAATGTGACACGCAAGTGGAGGCTGCTTTGCGCCGGCTTTCCGCAGAGCGCATCCTGAGCACGGAGACGGCGATTCTGATGTAGGACATGAGGATGAGTCCAAAGCAGACCATGGGCACCACACCGATGTTGGTGAAGCTCACTGTCTCAATGATGTAGGTGTCAGCGCAAGCCAGCTTGACTACCGGGAAAATGTCACACAAGAAATAGTCCACCACGTTGGACCCACAGTAAGGGAGCGTGAAGGTCAAGCTGGTTAAGATGGTGGCATGGAACGAACTGGTGAACCAAGTACCAGCGGCCAAGAGGGCACACACTTTCCGGTTCATGATGACCGTGTACCTCAGCGGGTGGCAGATGGCGGCGTAGCGATCGTAGGCCATGACGGTGTACAGAAGGCACTCGGTGCTGCCCAAGAGGTGGTAGAAGAAGACCTGGCACATGCACCCGCCCAAAGAGATAGTTCTGCTCCCTGCCCAGAGGTTGGCCAAGAGCTTGGGAGTGCTGACAGAGGAGAAGCCAAGGTCTACCACAGAGAGATTGCAGAGGAACCAGTACATGGGCGTGTGGAGGCGGGCATCACAGACGATTGCCGTGAGGATGAGCAGGTTGCCGAGCAGAGTGAAGAGGTAGAAGGACAAGAAGACGGCAAAGAGGATGTTTTGGAGGCCTTCGGTGTGGGGGATCCCGAGGAGAACGAATTCCAGGATCACCGTGTGGTTTGGCATTTCTCATCCAATCAATGCACTGCTAAGGGGTCTAGTGAAAAGAAAATGACATTATCTCGGTCATTATTCTTTTCAATGCAGCGTGTTTATTTGGCCACCGTAGAACTCCCTGTTGCTCAACAAAATGCACTAGATGTCAGAGACGTTCTTTGGCCCTGGCTAACCTGATCTCATCAGGTCTCAGAAGCTAAACAGGGTCGGCCCTGGTTAGTACTTGGATGGGAGACCGACAAGGAAGTCCAGGGTTGCTATGCAAATGCAGGCAATGGCAAACCACCTCTGAATGTCCCTTGCCTTGAAGACTCTCTACGGGGTCGCCATCAGTCAGCCATGACTTGACGGCACCTTCCACCACCAGCCAGCGTTGCTTATTCACTTCTAAGTTAGGAAGGAGGGTTGGTTTTTACAAGAAATTAATGACTGGATGGGGGGAATCAAATCCTCCCTTGTCTACTTGATGGTTCCCACTTTCATCGGCAGCCCTGCTCGGTTTTTATGGAGAACATTTGTGAGCCCACTTTTGGCTAAACCTGATCTCGGTTCAGTTACCTTTATTGGCATCAGCATTGCCTTACGCAGAACCTTTTCACTTGCCGGATTCAACGCTCTCCCTTCAGTGTTCTTAACTGGGAGGTTTAATAGTATCCTTCTTGTTAATAGACGATGCCCCTGTGCAAGCGGGTCAATTGAAACGGTGCCTCACGTGTTACTGGAATGTCATTACTATGCCAGTATTCGGTACTGCATCTTATCGTCACTACTTGGTGGCATCAAACTGCTATATCTACTAAACTGCTAATCTCTCATCAAACTGCTATATCTACTAAAACCGGATCTTCAAGGCACCATTCAATACATTCTAAAAACAGAGTAACCTAACACAGTCTATAATCGCTAGGAGGCTGTGACTTGATAGTACTTTCCGTCATCACTATCTAAAAGAGAAGCCACCTTCCCCTAGCTATAGAAGTGAGCAGGGCTTTTTTTGTAGAAAAAGCCCAGCAGGAACTCATTAGCATAATAGGCCAGACCCAACAGCAGAAACTCATTAGCGTATCAGGCCACACCCCCATGCATTCCCTTCCCTTGGCTTGCCCAGGAAAGCCGGCCCTTGGACAGGCCAGGGAAGGCATGGGGAGGCATTTAAATGCCTCCCTGATCCTTCCAGGGGGCCCCGTCCCACCCACCTCGGAGTCGCCGGGGGGGGGTCGCTCTCCAGGCCTTCCCTCTGTAGCCACGCACGCAGAGGTTTTGGCTGTAGTGGGCGTGGCCAACTCTGAAGCCAGCCGGAACTCCGTTCCTGTGCGTTCCTGCCCAAAAATAGCCCTGGATGTGAGTCTTTATACTGAGTTGACCCCCTTTAGCCCAGGGTTGTTGACTGACCAGCCGCAGCTCTCTGAAGCTTCAAAGAGAGTTCTCTAGCAGCACTCCTGTCAAAAGATCCCCCTTTATAACCTGGAGAGATTGAACCTGGAACATGCACTCTATCTCTTCGCTAAATATAAAAATCTGGACGTTTCTGGGATGACCGTCCCGTCAATTCGCACAACCCACTGAGTTGACAGTTAGGGTTGTCAGCTTCCCGGTGGCGCCTGATCTCCTGGAATTGCTACTGATCTCCATACAGATCAGTTCCCCTGGAGAAAATGGCTGTTTTAGAGGGTGGACTGTACAGCATTGTACCCTGCTAAGGTCCCTTGCCTCCCCAGATCCTGCCCACCCCAGTCTCCGCACACCCCACCCATTCTACTGATACCCCCTTCTTAAGCCACTGAGGGCTTGAACTCACATTCCAAGGCCCACTGCCTTTCCATCCAACAACCGCTGAGCTACATCTGCTCTTCTACCACCTAAAATCTCCTGAAATGCAATAATTTTCATCTGGACCAAATGATATACCTGATATTTTTGACCACTGTGTGACAGAGTGTTGTGCTGGATGGGCCATTGGCCTGACTCACTTGGACAGGGTTGAATCCTACCTGCTTTATTGCTCAAAGACCTCTAAAAAAAGGCAGTTCTGGGGATCACAGGATCCACATGGACTAAGGAAGGGAACTGGGAGGGATCAAGAGAAAAGGCTCTTGGCATCCATTCCCATCTATGCAAATCATGTTTTGTATAATTGATAAAATCTTTGCTTCAGCAGCCAACATTTTTTACTTTCAATGCTGTATGGTGGATGGAAATGAAAAACAAGCAGGAAATTCACAAATACCTCCCCCCACACCACCAGTGACCCCTGTTCCATGCCCAGAAGAGGACAAAACCCCTCCAGGATCCCTGGCCTTACAGGTCTGGAGAAAAAATTGCTTCCTGACCCCAAAGTGGCAATCGGCATTTCCCTGGGCGTGTAAGAAAGGGCCACGAGAACTAAGCACTGAGGCAACCCTTTCTGCCCTCCCTTTCATGATCTGCCTACATTCACAGAATCAGCATTGATGTCAGATGGCCATCCAGCCTCTGTTTGAAAACCTCTAAAGAAGGAGAGCCCACCACCACCTGAGGAAGCCTGTTCCACTGAGGAACCGATCTAACTGTCAGGACGTTCTTCCTAATGTTTAGCCGGAAACTCTTCTGATTTAATTTCAATCTGTTGGTTCTGGTCCGACTTTCTGGGGCAACAGAAAACAACTCCGCACCCTCCTCTCCATGACAACCCTTCAAGTACTTGAAGATGGTTATCATATCACCTCTCAGTCATCTCCTCTCCTGGCTAAACATACCCAGCTCCTTCAACCTTGCCTCATAGGACTTGGTCTCCAGACCCCTCACCATCTTCATTGCCCTCCTCTGGACACATTCCAGATAAACCAGTGGACCAAACAAGTGTCCTCTTACACTGCATGAACAGGAGATGGTGGAAATCCTCTTCTATGGCCTTAGTACTCTTAGTGATGCTGAGCACACCCTCCTAGACCAAGACATACACACATGAGCTGAAAATCCAGCTTGAATGGTTTGGCCTGAGAGGTCACCGTCGGTCTTACAGTTCCTCCTTCAGTAAGAAGATCCACATTGTCTCCAGAATTGTTCAGCCTTAAAGCAGATCTTCTGCTTTGCAGGCCAAGACAGGTTTAATGACCTCAGTCCTGGGGAAGCATCTACATGGACTCTGCCACCTTTCTATAAGGAATTGAGACTCTGGGGAAATTCCCGACTCCCCGCCTCGTGGTAGAACCTAGGGATGGATGAGCTGATGGTATTGCATCAGTTGTTTTCTTCAGCTAATGAGCTGCCTGCCTGGAGGAGGAGGGTGGAAAGATCAAGGGATAACCTTCCCTTGGGGCATGGCTGTCAGACTGAGGGCCTCTTGGGGTTACTGGAAAGAAGAAGGTCCGCCGTCCCAGATGAGATGAGGCCACCACTATCAATCAGCCGTAATCCAGACTAGTAACAATGGGCTATAAGCATGAAATAAGAAACACCTACAAACTGCAAACTCATACAGAAATAGCGTTCAGCTCTGTTTCAGTTCTTACCATGTGCAATGTGTCTTTATCCTTCAGCAGGGGTCTTTTCGTAGAAAAAGAGCTGCAGGAGCTCTTCAGCATATGATATGATAATGAGCTACTAGGCAATTAGCATATGACACGCCCCCTGACATCACCGGAAGTGATGTCAGAAGGGGAAGCAAAGGGGGGAGAAGGCATCTTCAAAAGCCTCCCCTTCCCTTCCCCAGCTGGCCTGTGGGGGGGGGGAGCGAAGAGAGAAGGGGTTTAAACTTTAAACCCCTTCTCACTAGAGTTGGGCCACAGAAGGAGGAAAGAGGGAAGGAAAGAGAGAGAGTAGAGTGAAGGAAGGAGGGAAAGAAAGAGAAGGAAAGAAGGAAGGAAAGAGGGGATAAAAAGAGAGAAGGAAAGAGGGAAAGAAAGAGAGAGAAGGGAAGAAGGAGGGAGAGAGGAAAAGGAGAGAAGGATAGGAGGGAATGATAGAAAGAGAAGGAAAGGAGGAAAAGAGAGGAAGGAAGGAAGGAAGGAAGGAAGGAAGGAGGAAAAGATGGCAAAGAGATGGAGGAAGGAGGGAGGGAGGGAGGCTCTCCCACCCCCCTATCAAGCCCCCACCACCCCCGCGGATCCCTTACTTACGCTTCAGCATGGGCCCGGCGGACCCGACTGCAGGGATCTCCGGGCTTCCCCCAGCCCCAGCGCTCCTTTGCAGGCCCGGGGGACCTGGCGGCGGGGCTCTCTGGGCTTCCCCTGGCCCCAGCACTTCGGCATGGGGAGCTCAGGGTGGGGCTTGCGGCGCCACCATTTGCACTGGCTCCTGGGCTGCCGGAGCAGTGCTCCAGTGCGTTCTGGCCCCAAAAGACCCCTTTCCTTCAGCATGTCTCAACATGAGACTGAGCCCTACGAGGAAAGGCTAAGGGCCTTGGGAATGTTTAGTTTGGAGAAGAGGAGATGGGGGGGGACAGGATTGCTCTCTTTAAATATTTGAAAGGCTGTCATTTGGAGGAGGGCAAGGAGCTGTTCCAGTTGGCAGCAGAGGAGAGGACCAGTGTTCCCTCTAAGCTGAGTTAGTGTGAGCTAGCTCACAGTTTTTTAGCCTCTGGCTCACATATTTTTGCCTTAGCTCAGGAAGGAGGGCTCCAGAGCAAACTCATTTATGCAGTAGCCAAATTGCTGGCTCACAATTTTCATGCCGGTAACTCACAAAGTAGATTTTTTGCTCACAAGTCTCCATAGCTTAGAGGGAGCATTGGATAGGACCCGAAGCAACGGGTTTAAATTACATGCAGAGAGGTATCGGCTGGATAGTAGGAAAAACTTTTTCAAGGTCAGAGTGGTTCAAAGGTGGAATCAGCTGCCTAGGGAGGTGGTGAGCTCCCCTTGACTGACAGCTTTCAAGAAGAGGCTGGACGAATATTTGTCAGGGGTGCTTTAGGCTGGTCCTGCATTGGGCAGGGGGTTGGACTAGATCAGTGATGGCGAACCTTTTAGAGTCCGGGTGCCCAAACTGCCACCCAAAAAACCCACTTATTTATCGCAAAGTGCCAACAT